TACACAATGAAAAGGCGATCATGGACGGGTGCTGCAGCATCGGCCCTTCAATCCTCGGCAGTTCAACAGTGAGTATGTCACATTGACTCATAGAGCTGCCATTCGAACAGAGAGCACCAATTGACAACTTATTTTCATTGAGCACTTTCTGACTTTGCATAAATAAACAGAAATTCAAAGTGGACGTATACTATGAAACGGTCAAAAAACGAAAAAATGCTTCTAAAAAATTTCGCCATAGACTTGCCTGTCTGAAAACATGTGTTTCGTAGTTTTCCTGGACAACGAATCCGATAATGTATGCTGCTAAATTGGGCCAGTCCTTCAAGAAACGTTTTTGGTAAAATCAGGGGTGGACGTATACCAATGAAACGCACTTATCTCTTCAACTAAAAGTTTGGGGAACAGCTGAACAGACTACCTGGGAGCGCAAATTTTCCGCTTCTCAAAACTGTCTTCCTTTTTTTCAAGCTTCCACGAAATTAGAGAGATATTGCCTTTGAAGTGGCAAAAACTCGCATGAAAATTTCAGCGTCCTCGACGCTACTCGACAAAATTTGAGAGACCCTATCTTTCTGCATGGAAGGCTTTCAGAGCAATTTCAATACTTCTTGTAAAGCAAATCCAGCTCTATCTAACCCTACCTCAAACTGCTCCAAAGGTTATGAAATGGAGGAATGGAACCTTTTCAAAGAGAGTGTAGATTTCCGAGGTTTAGGATAAGACCACAGTTAATCTGGCCCAGGGATAAACCGTGCTGCAACTGCACTCTCTGCTGTACAGTGATGGAACTCGCTCATTCACATCAAGAACAAAGTTAGATTGTTATAGGTTGTTATAGTTGGAGGGGTTATCAAGATCCTGATTTTAAGGGAGGGGAAGTCGTACTGCTGCGACCAAGTCTTCGACACAATTTTCACCATGGTGGAAAGCAATCGATCCCGATCAATAGATGGGACACGGTACTAGCTGCTTTTTTGGACACCGTCATACAAGTCAACGAATACATTTGTTAAGTGCACCGGATCCAAGTCACCAAACCGCGGATCGATTATCAAAGGAGCAATGAATCTCAGAGTAGTTCCTATTCAAGTCTGGGGGAAGGGAGATGCCTATCAGAGACGACATAGTCATTGTCAAAGAGTATACAGAAAGAACGTGAGCACTGATGAGAACCCTGAGCATTAAGTGACGAATAGAATGAAATCTGATTTAAAAAACCCTTGCCCCATTGGTCTGAGCTTTTTGAGTTTATTTCTCACAAGTATTGAATTGTCCCATAATTCCTGTCCGGATGTCGACACTTTTTCCTCTTCCTCCTTTCGTTTTCTTATAAGCCAATAAATCAGGGATCGAACCATAATAGTAATCACGGTATGTGTCCCTTTGCAGGGAAGCCTTCGAGTGCTTCCCTCCCAGACTGGTGAGTAAAAGCAAGAGTTGAAGAATTCGGTAAGGGTTTTTGGTTGTATTCAGTGACTTCTTTCTCTCACCGCTGCTGCTTAAAGGCACTGCGGAAGGGGTAATCTGTAGGATCCGTCAAGGCTATACGATAGATATGGGATCGTGGTCCAGCCAGTTTTTTTTTTCAAAAAGTGACGAGTTGTCTTTGCAGTACGAGGTCCGGAGAAAAGAGACTTTGAGACGTTTCGGACGGTTCTCACAGCTGCAGCCAACCCCAGGAGCTGCTTCACGATAGCATTGGCAATACTTGTCTGCGTATTGCGAAGCAGTTATGAAAGCGAGATACCAACTCACTCTAACAATTAAGAACATATTTTCGGAACATAGAGTCTGGGCTTTGGTTGAGCTGGTGAGTCCTGGCTGCGAGGTAGCCATCAGGCGTGCTGCGTGTTGTCGCAGTGGACTCATGACTCATCTCCATTGGTGACTGACTAGGGAAAGTCCCGTCTATGTGGCAGCAAGAGAAGACTTCTGCAGATGGTCAGACGTGCTTCTCGGTCATGGTCAGTCGGTGCATGCGGTTTCCATCGAGGCTTCATTCTGCAGCAGCCGTTTTCATTCAGATGGCGAGCGATGGTGCATCGGTTTGTCAAAATGTCTGCAACAAATCCTGGTAGTAGCGTCCGTGTGCACCGCTCCGTTGTTAGAATCGCATTTGCCATAGCGACCGAACCACTAGCTCAGTACCCGATCAGTAGCAGGGAGCAAGCCAACCACAACGTCGATCTTCACTACTGTCCTCTTTGCAACGGCAGCCATTTGGGACCGTGAGTCACTGATCTGCGGTAACGGTCAAAAGTTCGCCGGAACACTTTTTTGTGCCTTTCATTTCTTCCCTAGAGAGAGATCTGAAGATTGGTTCAGCCGATTTTTTTTTCCAAATATCTAAACTCTTCAAGAGTGAAGATCTGCAAGGCTTTAGAGGCATATCGTGTTCACATTCGAGGGACACTGTCAAATGAGAAAATAGTGCACGAAAAACGTTTCGGCGAACGCTTTTGACCGCAACTGTATTTCGACTCCTGCTTTGTTGCCCCATCGCGGGTTCGACCTCTCAAAACCTCAAGGCTGATGGTCTAGATACTGTAGATGCGTTCTTTGAAATACCAACATACTTCGCTATGACACTGATTCAACTTGAAGAAACTTGAAGTTGAACAGAAATCGGTTATGAGACAACCCAACTGTTTCACTGTTGGTGAAGTTTCATTGATTTTTTGAATCCGTGAGTACACATCTGAGAAGAGATAAACGAATCAAAGAAAGCGAGCCTTACCTCTGTGCAAGCACGCTTACCATCAATGTTGAAAAACTCCTACTCACTGCATCCGGTCCTATGTATATCCGTTTGCCATTTTGGTAGGTTCTGTGCTGGTAGATTCCTGTTCCGCGCGGTTATCCTATTGCCTCGTCGCGCTCCCTCACCATATCTTCGACGGATTCACACACTGTTGGCCGCGTTGCTCGAGCTGGCAGGCTATATGCGTTACGTTTTGAAGGTCTAGAAAGAGGTTAATAAGCGAGGTACTGAATTTATGAGATCGAAATTTTCTGAATGCTTTTAGATCAGTAAATCGATCAGTAAATCTTTCATTATTTTTTGTTGACTGCCTACATATGTCAGTTATTGCAAAGCAACTCCTTCGAACTTCTCTGACCGCAGTAACCACACTTGCAATCACTTCAGACATCGCTGAACCGTTAAAATCCATGATTGCGTAAAGAGACTTTTGTGGGAGGACAGAAGCTACGAGCAATGTTGGATTTATAGGAACTCGGATCCCCATGCGGCTGGAATTATCGCCATGCGCATCTCTAGTAATTGAGTGCGATTTTCGCGACACCTCCTTATCGACTTTTCCGTGCTTCTTAAGCTATCCCATGTAACTTGAAACCACAAATCATATACGCTCAATTCGGTAGCAGTCTTCTCAACTGTTTCAAGCACATTTGGTTCCATCAAATGTTTCAGGGTAATTTTTACCGAAGTTCGACATCCAACGATCACCCTCGCCAACTTCGAGGCTATCGCCATCCCTACACAAGCTTTCCAAACTATCGCTTCATGACTTATTTCCGCAAATGCGTGGCCAAACGAATAGTTTATATCGTGAGCTGATTCGCTCTTTTCCCCTCGAGTGGTGAGAGAGAAAACCCTGACTCGCTGGTGATGAGCATAGTTGCATTCAAGGCGTATAAATAAGTAGAAGTGGTCCCTCTAGGCCAAGGCTTATTGCGCATTGGATAGAGCAAAAAACGCGCTTTCTTAAGATATGCAACTCGTAGCAGTCTGCCGAAAACTTAGCCAGAAATAATGCCATGAACTTGAACTATCGAAAACGGCCAGAACTTTCCTTACAACCTAATAGGTCGCCCCACAGAAATGAAAGTAGAGGTGGTAAACAGTGGAGTGATGAAGAAAAAAAAACAAGGTACACGGCTTGAATCCGCAAAATGTGCTTTTTTATGCCTATTAATTTTCATGCTAGTTGACCATTATAGCTTCCGGACAGCCAAACGGAGGAGAGAGCTGCCAGTGAAGTGGCCTTTGCCACGGACACATCAGTTTATCGTATCATCTGCTTTGAAAGACGGACAAACAATGCAAGTATCGAATCACAGAAATATAGACCATCACCAAATAAGGTAGTCAGCCCATCATTCTAATCAGCTCGTCATCCAGGCTACAAGTGGCGGCGCAATATGCCTCCGAGAAGGGGGGTCTGTGGGGAGGCCACAGGACCAAGGCTAACGGAAAGGGACGAAAACTGGAGAGAACGAGAATGGCTCATGCACCTCGGATCCCCTCTTGTCCTCTAGGGATATGTTCTAAAACTCAGCGTTTTCGTGAATTTGACGCAACGTTACGGGCTCCCCCTCCCCTTGCGCCCAATTAGCCTCCGATTTCAGGCAACATGACAACATTTAAGCATCTTTGTAATATTTTTCATTGAATTGACAGAGCAGAGAAAAAGAAATTCGAGCTCACGAGGCAGTCTGAAGTTGGATCCACTTTGTGTCGCCACCATTCCTGCCGCCATAGGCTGTCGCCAAATGATTACGATTACGGTAGTATGTCTCGAAATCGCGTTGATTCTGCAAATGCACAATGTGGCATATGATCATTATTACGGTACCGTAATCAACTAATGCGTGCAAGTCCAGACAGAAAAGCTAGCGCTTTTCGTCATACTTAGGCTATGTTTTGCCAGGAAAAGAAAAGAAGCAGAGATGCTGTAATAGTGTGCATGTGCGATAGTGCCCAGGTAACACCACAAAACGCTAAATCAGCAAGCCTTGGTTGATAAGTGCCCTGGGACGCACATTCAGTAAGAACTGTGCAAATGCCAGGTTGTGATCTGAATGACCCCATAATCACACTACACTTCCTAAGTACCCCCCTCGCTGCGACTTTCGCACACTCAAACATCAGCGCCAGAATGGGCGATAGAGCAAACTTGACAGAGGCATGTTACTTCATGAGTGAGTGTGTGAGTCAAACGTTTGCAGCTTAATAATCGTTGCAGCCTGAGAAAACCATAGCTTGTATCACTGAGGGTAATTTCGAAAAGAATGCGACGGTTCTGAGATAAATTTCGGGTCGTGGTTCATTGCCAAACTAGCTAAGAGAAGGCGAACATGGATCAAAGGGATCTCAGACAAGCTTTTAAATTCATAGGTCTTTATCAAATGGCGTGTTATGTTGTTAGTGAAAAGGCAGAAAACGCCACAGAAATACCGGAATTCCCCTTGTGATATTGCCGTGGTATGACGGAGAGACACAGCGCTGCGAGGAGAGGGAAAACGCGAGAGAGTACGTCGTACGCGAGAGGGCGCAGACGCCACGTATGCCGCGATTGATAAGGATGGCAGCACGGCAGCACACAAGGCAAGGCCTTAGCGCCGTTGCCTCGCACTTTTGAGTGGCTACTCGCGTCTGTGTCGCGCCTCCTGTGCTTGAAAATCCCTCTTTCTCACTCAAGGGTAACTGGTTCTTAGCACTGAATCCCGACACGTCACTTCAACTTATTCTGTTGGTGAATTACACCAGCCAAGATAGGCCATTCTCAAAACAGCCCGAAAAGTTTTTGAGAAGATTAGTGTATTTCCTTAGGTCAAGGTGCGGATGCGCACACTTTGTCTCTCCCATAAACGGTCACCGCGCGAGGGACCACACATGTATGCGTCGTTGCGCCGAGACAACGGTGCGAACAATGAGACCAAGTCCTTCAAACTTCCATTCAGAAACGGTGAGTTTAGTGAGAGCTAGACACGGGTAAAAAGGTACCTCTACCACTAGTTTGTAATACAGAACCTGATTTGCTTGGGCTTATTTACTGTTTTAGTCCTCAAGACACTTTCGCTAGTTTTTTACCCTTTACAGTTCAGTAGCAGTTGATGGCACATAGAGTGAATGTGAATTACCTCGTTATCGTTATTTATTCCAAACTCGCTCCGTACCTGCTCAATGGTATTAGCCTGAGCGTAGGTCCTCCATTCTGGGACGAATAGATAGAAACAAACTCGTTTGGCAATATTCAGAAATTCTTCACCCCGCACCACATCTCTCTCAATACCGTAGTCAGGCAAGCAGAAATCGTAGCAGTCAGAGCATTTTCGATCTGAAAAAAATGGAAATTGTAGCAGAGCTCTGGATTAAGACAGCTTCAAGGTACGTACTCTTCTGATTGGTGGCCACGTAGTCCAACTGAACCCATCGAGCACCTTCACATTCGGGAATTGGTGGATCGAATATTTTTTGACCGTTCGTTGTCATTGGAGCTGGCAGATATTGCCAACTTTCATCCCAGCCTTTGCTTTGGGACTCTTTCTGTAATACGAGAAAAACCATGTGAAAACGGAAATCCGCCAAATTAAAATTTTAAAGAGCAAATGAAGCATAGAGTCAAGAAAGGTGGGCCCAAAAAATTGCATACA